GGCTGAGCATGAGCTCTTCTAAATGCGTGTGTGTGTGTACGTGTGTGTGCAAGCGTGTGTGTGCAGGCGTGTGTGTGGCCCTTTTGCTCTGAGTCCTTTATGAGACTCCAGTACCCTCATTATTCTTACTCAGAAATCAGTTGCTTGCAAATAAAAGCCTTGACTTTGGATACTGTGTCTCTGGTCTGGGTTTCAGGACCCTGGCTTAGGAGTCAAAGCCAAGGATACTCTGTTCTCTAAGCTCCCTCTCGGAAGCAATAAGCCTCAGCCTCCTTAATGAAGAAAGAGTCACAGGGCGGAAAGGAGTACCAAGAATAATGTTACTGCAAGATATTCCTCTGCTTCATAAGATCAACAGATGTAATGATTCATGTGTCTCAGAGGGTGTTCAGGGAATCAGAAAAAAGCTCAAAGAAATGAAATTAAGCAACCTTGGAACTACTTTGTCTCAACTTCTTTACTGTGAAATGACATTTGTCATTTCTGTCACTTTTCCTTATGGCCCTAGGAACTTCCTGATTGAACAGAAGAAAACAAGACCTCTTAGGATGCTACTGATCTTGCTCACATCTTTGAAGGGCCTGAAATGACCTTCTAAGGAGAGAAACAGATCAAAATGCAAACACAATGCATCACGTGGGACCCCTAGGAAAGGCCCCCATCAATGCGTGTGCAGACCATTTTTCACAGCCAGGGAGAAAAATGCTTTGTACTTTCATACAACATAAAAATAATACAATCACTCTGTCAAGTTTTGGTCTCCAAAGAACAAAATCTTGAGCATTTCCTCTAAGTCTAGACTCAGCAGAAACAACTTCATCCCTGGCTTTTTTAGGGTTGATGTCTGAGGACATAACACATGTGGATGATAAGCATGTGAGAAGTTGATGCTTTTCCACCATGAAAAGACAGAGGTAAACATGGTAATCTTGTGGGTTTTTTTTTTTAACATTAGCTACTTGGATTTTTTATTGGCTGAGCTAGTTTTACTGAAGTCTGGCTTCCTTGCCCCTTTTTGCACGTTAACTTTTGTTTTCCCTTTTGAAATACTTTTTGCCTCTGAAACTTGCATCGACAGATATAATAAATTAATTTTATTTCACAGTTTGAAAAAGCCATATACACATGTCACTTTTTGTAGAGCCACACAGAACATCTAAGAGGCCCAGAGCCCTGGTGGCTGCTTTGTCACGGCTCCATTTCAGGGCTAGCACCCTCCTTTCCCATCAAACTGTCCTCAGGGTCCTTGTCCACTCAGCCCCACCGGACAGAGAGGGCCTCATCAGAAGCATGGAAACACCATGGGTCTGTGCCACTTGGCCTGTGTGTATTCCTTTCAATCGACAGTTCTCAGCTTAATCTCCTTGCAGGCGTGTCTAACCTTGAGACTGCAGGTGGGCAAGAAGTGTTGTTGTGGGTCCTGGAGGACTTTGGTGACTTTCAAACTAAGTCTTCATCACCTACTATTTCAATTGCGTGTAAAGACCCAGCCATGCCTGAATTCATTCCTACTATTTGAGTCTACAAATTCCTTCCCACCTTTGTTTGTTTGGCTTGAGCTAGTTGGATTTGTGTTTCTGTCACTTTCAAGTAAAATAGTCCGGTGATGAACTAAGTCTTCATGTCATTTGTAGGACATGCATGTATTTAGAAGAAAATTTGGGATTCATGGCCTGATCCCTGAGCCAGCCATAATGTATTTGAAGCCACCTCTGCACAGAAAATTCAGGGCTGTGGTCACTACAACTGTCTGTCTGATTTCCATCTGGGGCCCTGAAACCCCTGAGGCTGCCTTCACTAAAGGAAGCTGTACCAGGAGGCGTCTTAGCTCTGACGGGGAGCCCTCACGTCAATGTGTCTCTGGTTCAATGTCAAAGCCCTGAGGTTCTATGGGCAACTTCACACGTGCCCATGGTCATCTGGCAGTTGTCTTCGTTATGCCTGTATTACACCTTAATTGAAGAAGCAGTGGTGAGGGTTTGCCAGCAGAGCACCTGCCACGTCCGTTGTTGAGCCTCAGTGACAGAAGCTGAGTGCTGAATTCCCCACATATGGACCCGTCCACTGAGGAGAAAGGGTGACAGTTGTGCAAGACTTGGGAAGGTGTGGGCGCAGGTGCCTCTCCAGTGGAGTGCACTGCTGCGCACGTGGGCCGGGGCTGCTGGGTGGAGGGGTTTTGGTAGTCATCTGTGTTTTAAGTCTGTCGACACCCTTCTTTCTTCCTGGGGACTGGCCCTTGATGCTGCCCTGCACTATCAATCACATTGTTGTGCATGGGCTCCCTGCCACTCCCCCAGCAAAAAAACTGGGACTGGGCACGTGACCCAGGCTGACCTAAGCTGGGAACAGCAGTTGCTCCTGGATGAGCCCGTGATCCAAACCGTCCAGTGAAGGTCCTTGCCCAGACTGGTCTATGGAGTTCAGCAAGGGGGACTCGCTTCTGCTGGGCCTGGGCATGCCCAACTAGGGGGGCTGTGCAGCAGTGGCCTCCCCGCCCCGGGAGGGCCCTAGGAGAGGGAGAGACATGGGGGTTTGAATTGCGTGTAAAGACCCAGCCATGCCTGAATTCATTCCTACTATTTGAGTCTACAAATTCCTTCCCACCTTTGTTTGTTTGGCTTGAGCTAGTTGGATTTGTGTTTCTGTCACTTTCAAGTAAAATAGTCCAGGCTTAGAGTCCCTTATATCGAGTCAGTTACCCTAGTGGTTAAAGACACAGATTTAGGGTCAGACTGCTTAATTTATGATCTTCGTTCCACCTCTCCAAATGCGAGACTCAGGGCAAGGCGCTAACGCTCCCACGTCTGTTTCCTTGGCTGTAAGACAGGCCAGCACCTCCCTAGGAGAGTCTGTTGGTCATGCCTAAGTGACAATGAGTAAGTTAAGCATCCAACATCCCTTGATTACTGTGACTGAGTCCTTTTAAGCCCTCCAAACTGTTGGATGCTCCAAACAAAAGCTTTTGTTTGGAAAGAATGTTCTTATCTTTGAAGCAGCTTTAAGTGTTAACTGTATAAATCTGAAGGCCTCTACTTACTTACAGGGAAACTTATCCAGAGAAAAAGACCACCACCATTCCCATTTCTCCAGACAGCTCTTTAAGAAAGAAATCCTCCTCATCCTAAACTTTCTGCTAAATTCCAAGGTAGAGTTATTTTAAATTAAGTGTGTGATAAGTAAATCCTTAGTGAGGCGGGGACGGAACCATAGGACGTCACCCTCACGGTCCAGCCACAGCGCCTCTTTGCTGAGCTGCAGGACGTGCGCTGTGGCGTCCATGATCGCTTCTTATACAATTACACTAGGCTTTCATTCACAGTGTGCAAATCCTTGTGGGAGGCTGCAGTGTTGTCTTTGTTTATTCATACACTATCTTGTTCCAGAAAGGATTTCTGATAGCTTATATAAGATTATAAAATAAAAACAAATAAGTGAAGAAATTGGGGAATAGAGAGTTGGAAAGCAAATTTAAGAGTGAGGTGGGTTAGACAGGCAGGTATAAAGTGAACCATAAATTTAACTCTGAGCTTTCTGACAGCTTATGGAAAGAGGGAAATACAAGCAGGGGTACGATAACCACGTCTTTGTATTCTGAAGCTTGGATATCTTGGGACCATGATGGCCCTGTGAAGACAGCCCCAGCTAATTCCTAGAGATGGTAAACCACTCACCCTCAAGCATCTTTCACAAACAAACCAACCACTCCCAAACCCACACCCCAACCACCTCCTCCACGGGGCCCTCACACTCCAAGCCACCCTCCCCCTATTCACCCAGGGCCAGGTATCAGACAACTAGGGACAGCCCCTGTGCCCAGGGCCCACTGAGGTTATTCACACTTACCAATCCCAAACCTACTTACCCTGTCTGCCTGCGCCTTTCCCACAGAAAGCACAGGAAAGGCGCGCGGCTGCATCCCCACCGCCCCCCTGCCTCCTAACTGTGCTGGTGCTTCCCTGCAGGGCCTGTGGGATGGCCCCATTTCTCGGGATCTGTGAGTTTACAAAACTTCGTCCTTCATGACAGATCTTTCCATGTCTGTGTGTCTTACCATACCTGAGTAAAACCAACCCCTGGTACGTTCTACAACAGCGATTCCTGGCATCCAGTGAGGAAAACAAGCCAGTCGCTCAGAAGCACAATTATTCACAAAAGTGAGGCAGAGGTCATTCCTCCCATGACCCTCTTAAAGAAGATGTTGTGTCACAGAGTAAGCAAGGTCTTCCAGGGCAAATCCACGGTGGAATGGCTAGTCCTGGGCCAGGATGCTTTCCACGGCAAGTGACCGAAAGCTGAAGGAGGGTTAAACACCACGTTCGGAGGCAGCACGGCTCCACGAATCTACGGCTGCAGGGGAGCTTGGTTTCTTTGTGATTTTGGGGTTTTTCTGCCTCACCTCTGAGCACTTTCTGAGACTCAGTAGATCTGTTTATCTTAACGTTGTAGGAAAACATTTTGAAAAGTTAACTAATCATTTTTATTCTTGGTATTCCTTTCTAGCCCATGGCCCTGCTTTCCAATATTAGAGGACAAGTTCAGAGCCAAAAAATGGAGTCATATTCTTAGCCTTGACTCTAAATAAAATAGGTTTGTGAAAACCACAGCAGAGATAACGTCTTGAAAGCTAAGGATTTCAATTGGCAAAAGCCTGGCTTTTGGTGAGGATCAAAAGGCTAAGAAATAAAGAGCGAAGTGTATGCAGTTTACCTGTGAATTGATGCGGGGTCGCCAAGCCGAAGAGTCAAAAGAAAGATTTCTTGGACTCTCAAGGTCTGGCAGTAGTGCTCTTTTATTTAGAGAATAGTGTGGAATAGCATGGGGACAGGACCCATGGGCAGTAAAGAGCTGCTGCCCTGTGTTGAGGGTTAGGGCTAAATTTATAAGGCATGGGTACGTGACTTATTTTTACTGGAAAAAGAAAAAATGATGTAAAAAGTCATTAAATGGTTTCACTGCAGATGGGGTCTGGTTATCGTGTGGTCGTATAACTTTAGATATGAACCTGGTCATACAGATGGGCATGTAGGGGAGGATGCCGTGGGCTTCTCTCCCTGGGGCAGCCCTAATCCACACCATAGAATCCATCGGGTCATATAGGTCGGCATGTAGGCCAGGTCACCTTGGGCTTCTCTCTCTGGGGCAGCCTTGATCCACATCATGAACGACTGGTTGGAAGAATACTCGCCTAGCCCATTCTCTTCACCATCGAGTGAAGGGAGGAAAATTCTTTCTGGGCTGCAGGGAGGAGGGTAAGGTAGTAAGCAAGGCCACTGGTGCTGTGAGTCTCTGAGAAGGAACTCTGTGTCGGGCACACTCAGGCCAAATGAGCCACAAGAATGATAAGCTGGGGGACCCCTGAGCATCGGAGCCCTGCACTGGGGTGTGGCCCACACAGGCCAGAGCTCGGAGCAGCACCTAAGGGGGTCCTGGGTGGCCAAGGCTATGGTGCTCAAGATGGATCTTGGGAAGATGGATGGATGGATCAGGGAAATGGATAGATCAGGGAAAAGTCCTAAGACCCCAGGAGATCTTAAAACTGCTGAGAGGGTGGGGGGTGGGGGGTGCCTGGAAGAGCCTCATGGTTTTGGTGAGGAGGACATAGCTACTCGTAGAGTGGTGGACCTGGTGTCCAGGGCTATGGAAAAGCCGTGGAGGGTGCAGAGGCATGGCAATGAGGACCGCACAGAGGGGCCACGTGGACAGAGATGGACTGAGGCCCATACTTCCTCCCCACAAGTGTGGCACTCCCGAGTCCCCCAGAGCCTTGATGCACCCCCAGGGCAGAGCAGGGAGAAACATCAGAACTTAAGTCCTGAAATGACTTCATAGTCATTAACAGAGTTTATTTGGAAACAACAAGATTATTTCTGCTCTTGGGAGAAGATATGGGCTCACGACAAAAGCAAAACATGATTATAGAAAATACTTTGGAAGAAAGTAGTCAAAATGTGCAAACTTCCAATTACAAGAAAATTAAGTACTGGGGATGCAATCAATGTACAACATGATGTTAACAGAGGTAACGCTGCTGCATGGTATGTTTGAAAGTCGTTAAGAGAGAAGATCTTCAGAGACCCCATCACAAGGAGAAAGACATTGTTTTCTTTTTTTTTGGTATCTATATGAGATGGTGGTCGTTAATTAAACCTGTGGTAATCATTTCACAATACATGTAAGTCAGATCATTATGCTGTACACGTTCCAGTTATACAGTGTTGTATGTCAATTATAGCTCAATAAAACCGCAAAAATATAAAATAAGATAAATAAAAATTTTAAAAAAGAAAAACATTGTTTCCTTTTTGCCTGGCTCAGCTCACGGGCTGTGGGGAGCTCGGTGTGAGGCACTTTGGTATTTAGTGGAGAAACAGTTGTTTCACTCCGGCTTATACCTAGTTATTGATTATTAGCTCTAGGCAGGATAGAGCATGAGTCTCAAACTCTCTTTTATCTTTACAGGAAAATATTTTGTCTATATTTCCTCATTTTTATTATTTTTCAATAATAAACATTACTGCTGTGGCATTTATTCATTCAGCAAACAGTACTGAGGACTTCTTGGCACCCAGAGGCATGGATTAGGGTCATTTGTGAGTAAAAGACACAAAATATCAGTGACTTACACAAGATAGAAATATATTTCTCTTTCTCATAAAAGTCTGAGGACAGACAATTCAGGACTGGTGTTGTGGCTCTACTCCGCAAAGTCCTCAGACACCCAGGACTATCTATCTTGCTGTGCATGGCCTCAAGTCACACAATCACTTCCTGGTCCAATATGGCTGCTCAGGTCCAGTCATCACACATACATATTCCAGCTAGCAGGAAGGAGGAAGACAAAGGACATGACTAGCTGTCTTTTATGGAAAGCTCCTGGAAGCTTTCATGTGATACTGCTATTAACATATCATTGGTCCAAACTTGGTCAAAATATGTTGCTTCAAGGGTGACTCAGAAAAGTAATTTTTATACTGAGTGGCCCTGTGCTCAACTAAAATGTGGGAGCTCTATAGAGATATAAAAAAGGAGACTGGTTTGGGGGGCTAACTAGCAATCTCTGACAAACACAGTACTTTAGGGATGTTTTATTTATGTCAATTTAATTCAATAGACATTTATTGGGCATCAGTGTGTGCCAGGCATTGGCAAGATGAGGTTTGGGGGTGCCCTCCTCACAGCCTTCATCCTATCATGCCGCTCTCCCTCTGAAGAGGCCACCACTTCCTCATCTCCTGATCTGACTTGGTTTTGCAGACAGATTTCTTTAAAAAATATCTCCCTTTAGCGATGTTGCCTGAGGCTGAACTCTGAGGGTAAACAATTCTGTTTTACCTACTTGATACTTTGATTCATTATGAGGAATCACCTAGCTCCAATTACCTCTAGGCCTTGAGTGTGAATCATCAATCAATATTCAATTTCTCAGACTCAGCATCACAGACTCTTCAAGCTGGAATGGTCCCAGAGAGCACTGAGACCAACGCCTCATTATGCACAAGTGGACACTTAAACCCCCAGTGGGGTGCAGAGGCTTGTCAGCACTCCCGGGTGTCTGGGGTTGGCGGCCCTCCCCAGCCCCCTCTGCCTCCCTCCACCATGGGAATGCCAGCACCCTGGCAGAGGTCTGTTACACATCACCAGGCAATGCCCAGGGAGGTTGTGACTGATGCTTCATCCTGTTGCTTAGTCCCCACGTGACTCGTCCCAATTCTGCAGACACACATTTCTGAGCCCTGCTTGAGGCGAAACTCAGGCTTGGATTTGTGTTGTCTTGCTCCCTGTGCCTCTCCCCTTCCTCCTCTCAGCTTCTCCTCTTTCCTTCCTACCCCATTCTCACTCCTCCAGCACTTGCCCACCTTTTTACCTGTCGCTGGGTGTAGGGAAAGGGGGCAGGTCTCCCGTGCACTTGGGCAGTCAGCGTGTCCTGGGTAGGCCAGGTGCATATAATCTTTCACCCTGATAGTGAACTTCTGAAGAGATACATGATTGGGTGGGTGTGTGAAGAGTTCAGATTATTCCTCTACTATGCCACTCTTACCTCTATGCAATGACCTTTCTTGAGGGAGGGAATGGCTGAAGTTACAACCAGGGGGCTGGGGATTGGCTGGGCCCTGGCACACATGAGGAGGCTGTCAGAGGTACTCTTGGCCTCTCACCTGAGCCCTTCCAGGAGGCAGGGTGCCAACCCCTGGTCACAGCCTCCAGCCTTCATGGAATCATGTGGAGCCCCATGCCGGGCAGAGGGTGGACCCTGCTGGGATCTGGAGGGGCCAGGCCCTCCTGAGAAGTTCCTCTCCTCCAGCTCCTGCAGCCCCTGTGCCCAGCCGCCGCCTGCCATGGGCCTCGCTGCCTCCAGTGTCCCAAGGTCCTGGGTGGTGTCCTCCAGCGGGGCCCGCTCTGGGAAGCAGGCTGCAGAAGCGTGGCCTTTCCAGGTCCAGGGCACTCGGGAACCATCTACCCTCCTGTCCTGAATCTCTGGGCGTTGCAGCTGGGTGGCAAGAGTTTACTCCTCCTGTGTGTGAGTAACTGAGATGTGTAAACAAGGTAGCGGAAAAAGTACAGAAAGAAAAAGAATCTGGGACCATCTTACCTCGATGGATACAAAATGAGCTCCCTTCTGGCCCACCCTTGGGGAAAGTGAAGATCAGATGTCTCTTGATCCAGGAATCATCTGAGTCAAGGTCCCAATCGGCACATGGCAGGGGGGTGGTCAGGGCCGTCAACACCCTGGTTTTGAACCATCCTTTAATGCACTGAGGTGGGTTATGTTTAGTGTCAGGGAAGGATTGTGTCCATTCTGATCCACAATGAGAGTGGAAGCTTTGCCCGATATGATAGAAGATCTTGTTTTTCACATGCTTTGTTGCTCTGCGTGTGTGTCTCCAGCGCATTTCAGAATTCCTCACAGAGAGAAGCAAATATTCAATCCTGAAAAAGAAAGGTGCTTCCCAGAAGTTCTGATGTCATTGCATCTGAAGTTAGTGCTGTCCTTATGACGTGAAGAAAAAGAATGGTTATTATTTGTGTTAGATACAGACTGGTGGGTGGCCTATTTCTTTGCAAGTCATCCCAAATGGAAGGGCTAACTGCTTCTCTGTCAAGCTATTTTCCTTGAATTCATTTCCAAAAACTTGCTCCTAGAGTTCCCCATCAGAAAAAGAACACACCATATTATTTCATAGAAGGGCAAGCATGGACCGAGAATTCCTGGTCCCCTAAACCTTGTCTACCACACTCTTCCCCGTCCCTGGCCACGTGCCTGCCAGGGTGGTGCACAGTGGTCCATGCTCACCATCACAGGAAGGCTGGGGCAGGGGAGGGCATTCTCCCTTCCAGACCCCATGCTCGCTTACAGGTCTCTGATAGGGCGCAGATGAAAGAGGGAGGAATTGTGGTCCGAGATCCCCCCTCCCCAACACACAGGTCCCAATCTAGTGCATTTTGGGTGTGGCTATGAGTGACATCATAACTATGTTTACAAAAGTGGCCCCTGGTCACCAACAGACAGAGCCCAGGGAGGCCCTTGAGATGGGGGTCCATTTGGCCACCCGTGAGATCTGCCCTTAAGGCCACACACACACGGCTTCCGTGGGACCCACTGAAGCCTGTTCTCCCACTTTTTCTTCTTCTGTCCTCCACTTCCTATAAGAGACTCCATGTTTAAGGTGTGGGGAGGGAGGTGGAGAGGAGGAATTAGACTTGGTTAGTGATTCTTCATTTTAGTCTGAGAAATAAACGAGGATTTATTTCAGTTCATCCTATCCTGCCTTCAGGCTTCACAAGAACTGGCCCTCTTATTGCCACAAGTGGAAGAGATGTTATTTGCCAGAAGCTCTCTTAGGGAAAGCACAGTTATGCATGTGGAAGCACATGTCCATAAGCTGCTTGGCCCAAGAGTGAAATCCCAAGGGTACAATCAACTCCAGAAGCAGATTTCAAAACTGATATAAGACCACAGGTACTTGTTTTGCTGCTGGTCTATGGACCACAGTTTGAGTGGAGACTCTCTGGACCCCAATTCAAACCACTCAAGTGAGTAAGGGCAGTGTCTCCCAAAGTGTGGTCCTCAGGCCATCTGCATCAGAGTCCCTTGAGGTGCTTGTGAAAATGCAGATCCCTGGGCTCCAACCCAGTCAGAATCTAGGGCAGGACACCTGGCATCTGCAGTTAAATAAAGTCCCAGATGACACTCGTGCAGACGGACATTGGTGAGCAGCTGTTCCAGGAACAGAAATGCTTGCAGCCCACCCCAGGAAAAGTCTAGGTTGCGATGGCTTGTGGGCTTGTGCTGCTGCTGTGTGCATGGTCTCCTCCTTCTGTGCCCCCAGGTTTTGGCCTTCCGACTCCTGGAAATAGGAGATTTGTATCATGGAATGGCTACAATAGTTAGCACTTCAGATCTTGGCATGAGGAAGTCCTAGAGGGAACTCCACCTAAAGGAAAAATACTCAGGAGGGCATTGGAAGGGGCAGGTGGCGAAGGACCCTCGCTCTTTGTTTCACGGAGCCTCCCTTGCACCTCCAGCTCTCGGCACAGAGCCCTCACCTGAGGGAGCCACAAGGCCGGGAGGCTGGGGAACCATGCAAAGCTGGACTGGCAGGAACCTGGACGCCCCACAGGAGCAGCCTCAGGCAGCAGCAGCGCCCTCTGTGGTGAGTCAGCAGGGCCTCCCAGCAGATCCACTGTCACGCGTGGCAGAGAAATGCGACTTAGCACAGCACACGCTGCTTCTGGCCTAGTCGCCAGTGGAGCGTACACTGGATCCTATGCCTGAAAAAGGCAGGTGACAAATCACGTACAGATCTAATCACATGAGCAGATGGTGTGGTCCCCTTGACATTCACACCTGGTGGCTGCTGAAGCCCTAGAAAGGGAGTGTAATTAGAAAATAAACCACCCTTGCTTCATATATTCATTTCTCTTGCCAAGTGAGAAATTTCACCTTTAAGCAATGATTTTATCTTCCATGAAGGCTGTCTGCCTGCTCAGTGTGAGCTGCAGATGGTTTCCAACTTCATTTTCATGTGGACAATAATGCGGACCCTAATGTCACCCATACCTCCATTAGCAGCTATGATGTCCTTCATGTGCGAAGGGACTTGGACTTTGCAAAGCCCTTTTCTATGGTGCCAAATCTACAGAGTCATGGAACCGCCCCCTCCCTCTTCCTCTCTTCCTTCCTCCCACGAACAAGCAGTGTGTGGAGTGGGCGTTACAGAGAAAAGAGATAGCTCCTGGTACCAGGGAGGTCACAGAGCATTGGCAGAGACAGACAGACAGACAAGCAGTTGGAATCACTGTGATGAGTGAAACAAGAGTGTGACGGGGGCGGACCCTGTGGCCGAGTGTTTAAGTTCGCGAGCTCTGCTTTGGCTACCTGGGGTTCGCTGGTTTGGATCCTGGGCGTGGTCCTACACACTGCTCATCAAGCCATGCTGTGGCAGCTTCCCACATAGAAGAATTAGAATGACCTACAACCAGGATATACAACTATGTCCTGGGGCTTTGGGGAGGAAAAACAAGAGGAAGATTGGCAACAGATGTTAGCTCAGGGCCAATCAAAAAAAAAAAAGAAAATGTGAGGACGAGCCTGGCGATGCAGACGGAGGGAGGCTTCTGGAAGTGGCAGCGCCTAGAGCAAGCCCTGAAGTTGAGCAGGAGTTTCACAGCAACATCTACTGAGGCGAGGTCTTTCCCACTCAGGGAACTGCAGGCACACGGCTTTGCTGGTGCTAGGATAAGTATGGGCCGGGGGAGATGAGGATAGAAAGGCAGGCAGGGGCCAGATTGGGAAAGGCTTTCTAAGCCCTGCCAAGGGGTTTGACCCCCTCTCCCCTGCTCCCTGGCAGGAGCCCCCTGTAAGGTCTTAAGCAGAGGAGGCTTTAGTAGGATCCCTGAGGCAGCCGTGAGGAGGAGGGGCTGGAGGAGGCATGGGGAGGGCAGGCCATGCACAGCTGCCCGCCTGGGAAGAAAGGCCTTGTGGATGAACTGGCTCTGTGCTTGAACCAGTAGAGAGACTCTTGCAAACTTAAGTGCCCATCGTGGGTCTGTTCTCCCAAAGCTCTTCAAGCTCCACTTGATGAAAGATCTCGGTGCCCTGGATAGATCTAGTCAACGGAGACAGAGAGGCTGTCGGTCCAGCACATGCCTGAGCTGGAGGTGGGAGACTGATGAAAGCCAGCCATCACACTCATTTTCAAACAATGGATGGGGAAAATACTCACCAAAATCAGAGAGAGAAATGGTTAACATAGTCATACCTAAAGAAAACAGAATAGTGACCTTAAAAAAAAAAAGTAGAAAAGCAGGCAAAAAAGTATAAACAAATAATAATTTAAGATAAATAATATATAAAAGCACAAAGAACATAAAATAAATACACAAACCAACACACATGAAAAATATTTAACACTGTTAATGATCAAAGTAATGACCGTTTAAGCAATGAGAGTTGCCACTTTTCAGGTATCAAATTGGCAATATTTAAGGGCCAAACACACCTTAGTGCTGAGAACGCTGGTGAGGTGGGCTCCCCAACACTGCTGGGGGCATGGAAATGGGAAACTTTTCTAAAAGTAATTTGAAAATTAAAACCAAAAGCCATAAAATATGTCTCGTTCTCTAATTTTCCTTTCAGGAATCTATCTTAAGAAAATAATACACGAGGCAGCAGGATGTATACACCAGAACATGCTGGGCTATTTCTGCTATGTCTCGCTTGGAAGCGACGAGTCATGGAACGAAGCTAGCCCCCTTTGACAAGCTGCGGCTCGTGGTGTGAGGTGGCCTGCCGAGCGACCGCTAGAAGTATGTACGCAAAGATTCTGAAAATCCTGGGGAACATGAACATGATACAGTATCACATAAAAAAGCAGATGAGTAAACCGTAAAATTGACATGGTCCCAGTTTCATTTTTTAAAATGAGTATGCACTTAAATAAATGCTGGAGGGCTGTGCATCCAAACGGGGAGGTTGTGAATATTTCCTTTTAATGTAATTTCTCTGTTTCCCTGTATTTTGCCAGTTTTCTACAATGAATACTACTTTTATAATAATTCTTTTTAAAAAATTAGCCTAAAAAGCATGCTTGGCCCACGCAAGTGACTCTGTTCCTGAAGGTGCTGCCCACAGCTGTGGTTGGGGCAGATGGAATGGCAGGAGGCCCTTTGTCGGCCAGGTGCTGGGAACACCCTGTGTCACTGTCTCATCCGTGCCTGCAGAGGGCCTGGCTAGAGGTAGCCCCTCCAGGGTCACCTCGGGGTAGGGGAGAGACTGCCCTTCTCCAGGAGAGGAAGGTAGGGGCTCAGGTGCAGTTGGGCAGCACGTGAAAGGACCTCTGAGGCCCTCTTGCCTCCCTGTCTCCGTGTACTGTCCTACCGCACCCTCTGGCCATGGGACGTTTGAGACGCCGCCTGGCTGAAGAGCACCCTCCAGGCTGTATGGGTGTACCCCATTTGCCCCAGTGGGCTGATCTCAACCTCTAATCACAGAGAATAGGGAGCTGATTGTACTAGTTCATGCTAAGACACGAGAAATTAACAGACTGACTTTACCTGCCAGGGATCTTTATGTTTTAAAGTTGAGCGTTTGAAAAAAAACCCGACACACACACAAAGTCATCTGTATGGAAGCAGTTTGGGCTTTGGGACAGGCCAAAGGGGAGTGCAGGCCATGGGCTACCAGCGTACGCCTGGAGGGAAGCACTTCTCCACCTGTGCACCTTGCAGAGGGAGGATCAGCTGATGTCAGCCTGGCCGTATACATGTCTGAAGGTGTAGGGGCTGGTTCTGAGACCTGTCTCAGTGACCCTGGGTGCCATCGGGGTCAGCCCTGGGCCTCTCTGAGTCGCTGACTCCTTCTAGGGTGCAACTGGGTTTAGGGGTTTAGGTCAGTGTTTATGAAGTGCTTGCCAAGTGCAGGCACTGTCCTGGGCACTGGGCAAACCTGCAGGGCGGGCATCTTTCTGTTCTGCTCACTGCCGTACTCCCAGTGCCTGGAGAGTGTTTGCGTCAGCGCTGGGTTCCACGGGCCTGAAGCTTATATGATTTAGGAGGGCCGCTTTTTAGGAAAAGCATAAAAAATTTTTAAAAAACTGGTTCCAAATAAGTTATTTATTTAGAATGAGAAAACATAATAAATTACAAGATTTACAAAGCCTGCAAATATCACAAGATATAGGTTATAAGTTTACAGGGTAAGGATTTTTGTAGTTAGAATCAATTCTGCTGGCCACTCTTCAAATAAATTCCCCAATCAAGTCCACTCCTGTTTCTTCCAAGAATCTGGGTCTGGACCTTCAGGCCGCGTCACTGAGATTCAGACCTCCCAGCTGAGGCGCCTGGAGGCACCTGCCTTACTTTCTTATATTCTTTTCAGCCTCTTGGTCCTTTACACATCCCCCAAGACTTAGTTCTCCAACCTCTAAGAAATTTTCCGGTCAACCGCTGACCACTTTGTCATCAAATCCCAAGTCTAACTCTAAAGGAAGTCCGTCTGAAAATGCTTGCTTCTTCAGTGGGCTTGGTTTGATGCTTTCACTTCATGCAAAGCAACCGCTGGAGAAGAACTTTAAAAATTCCCCCTTTCTCATCCCAGCTGTGCCCTTTATGCCCAGGGGCCCCGAGCCCTTCCAGAGATGTTTGACACATGATGATGCCTGCCTTGGCAAGCGGATTAGACAGAACTCAAAGTTTTGGGAAGAGTCTGAATCTGGCCATGATAGCATTTTCCTTCTAAAGGACGGTTGCCTGCTGCCCAGGGAACCATGGCCCCACTGGAAAGTTGAGTCCCTGAGGACCCCCGCTGGCAGGTTTGGAAATGTCTGGACCTGTAACATTCACTGGGGTTGCAGCAGGCTCCAGCACTCAGTTTTCTTTGTCAATTTATGCCCCAGAGAGATTCTCACATGTTCTAAGAGAAATGAGAGTTTCTCTTTGCCTCGCCAGCCTCTGCATTGTCCTTTTAGGCAACAGCATAATCCAGGACAGAGCAGGATGCTTTAACTGAGTGTCAGACTCCAGACCCAGATCATCTACAACTGGGCATTCTGAAGATGCTGCTGGATATAACTGAAACCTTATTTTGGTGATTGTTAAGGAATCACAGAGAATGGTAGAAATATCAGAAAAATTGGAATTAGGCAGGCATTTCATTTTTTTAAAAAAAGAAAAATGTAGTAGATCTTAAAAAATTTTAGGTCTGCTTGACATTGCTTCCCAGAATACTCCTGGAATTGATGGTTGAATATATGATTTGTAACCGTAAGAAAAGGATTCAGAGATCAGCAGGACTCTGCGCTAGTTTGGCAGGGGCAGGTCATGCCACACCCACACCACTCCTTGTTCAATTGTGGTACTCGGTTAACAGCTCAGTGGAATTCTGCAGAGAGTACTTTTTTTTTTTTAATTTCATAAGGCATCTGACATAAAATCCTATGTATGAAATAGAGAAATAGGGGTCAGGCAGTAGTTCAATTGGACAGAAGAAAGATGAGTTGATTGAAGAATTATATTAAAAATCGGACTGATATCATAGAGGAGAGTTGAGCATTCTATTCTTGCTTTTCAGTGCTCAGAAAGGGACAATGTGCCTGCCCAGTCTCTAGATACTGCAAAACTGGTAGGGAACGCTGGTGTGTAGGCGACCAAACTCAACATATAAGCTTGACAGCCTGGAATGGTGGGCTCAGATCAATGAGTAAAATGCCAACCGGGATGAATGTCAGGTTTGGATTTAGATTTTTAAATATGGGAGAAACATCTTGGCAGTTCATATGAAAAATAATTGGGCAATTAAATAGAGCACAGTGTGATGTGATTTACAAATATACACAGTCCTGCACTGCCTTCCTGGAGCGCCCATATCGGGATCAGTCTAGGCCATCAGACATGAAAATTAGTTTTCACCTAGTTTCTCTTAAGCCACATCTCAGTTCGATTGTGGGATCTGCATTGTAAGATGCAGAAACAGTGACAAACCAGAGAACATTGAGGGAGGCGCCTGGAAGCATGTCATACAAAGAAATGAAGGAAACTTTTTAATGTTTTAAACATGTACGTTTTTAGTCTTTTACTGTTAAAAAACCCCAAAGAAATGCACATTTTAAAAGTTGGAAAAAACTAAGGAGCAGTGGAGGAAAAAACCACCTATATTGCCTTGAAGGAGCAGTCATTTTTAACCATGAGAAGGTGAGGCTGGGGGAGAGAGGAGTACGCTTGGTTAGGGCTCAGGAGTACGGACTGGGCCTCTGAGGAGCGGTTTCCTTATCCCCAAAATGAAGGGCTTGACCAGAGATCCTTCAGGCCACGCCACTGTTACGAGCAGCCTCCTGATAGGGCTGACTGTCTCCAAATGGCTCAAAGGCTGTCAGGTGACCACAGGGAGCAGATTGATCACCGCTGTCCCAGGTTCCAGAAGATAAAACCAGAATCAGTGCATGGAGTGACAGCTAAATAAACTAAGAAAACTTTACTAAGAAAAGCTTACTAATAATTAGAACTACCCAAAACTAGAGAGGACTACTTGTCAAGCACAGAGTAGCCTGCTGTGGGCTAAACTGATGTCTGTCAGTCTTAGCTTGGCCAGCAGCAGAGATCTCTACATTTTCCTCTAAGTTCCACAAGCCCCAGCCCGGACACAAGCCCCAGCCCCGACACAAGCCCCAGCCCCGACACAAGCCTCCTTCATCCAGATCCCATTTATGAAGAAGCATTTACACAACTAAAATATACCACTGTGTCCTGGGGGGATCTGGGAGAAGAAGCAAAAAAGAAAAGAAAAAGAAAAACTGCATTATTGAGAAAGGAAATTCTTACCGGCTAGAACTGTTGAAACAACTTCTTCCTCTGCATTTTCAGAATCTTAAACATACAAAAGGAAAAAGTTATCAAATTGCAAGACCTTTTAGAAAGGTGAGCCTAATGAATTGAAGATCTTTGCCACACAGCTTCAAGTTGCTGTTTAAGCTACAAATGTGCACACATGGAAGGTTTTCTGTTTTTCTAGCATATCAGAGCATAAAGCAGTCTAATTATGAAATCTTGGTAATGGTCATTAACCACATACCTAGCTGTACCTGGATGCATTTTATTTTGCAGAATTTAATTTAATTGGCAGAAAATTATAGCTCTTTAAAAACTCTGTAATTCGACAACTTTCATAACATTTCCCCTCTTTTGCTGTCCTCCTTCTTGCTCCTTCCTTTCTGCTTTTAACTTTCCAGTGAAAAGGGACTTAGTATATTTCGAAATCTAGCATGACTTATGAGGGCGCTTGACACTGCACTGCTGGCGTAGCTGCAGGGTTGGGCGTGAAGAACTCCTCAGTGAGGCCCAGGGAGAATGACTGCGTGGGGTCACCGGGCTTGGTCCCCGCTCTCAATGAATCACAGGCTGGTGGGGAGCAGGCAGCCCATCAGAGCTGCCCTCCTGGACCTTCCTGGCCCGTCCTCGCCCGTCCTCAGCCATCTGTGGCCTTTTCTTCCTCAGGCTTTTCACTCCTGTCATCTCTGCCTGGGGCACATTTCCTCAAAATATTTGTGCAGCTTCAGTTTCTTCTCAAACGTCCCCTTTGCAAAGAAATCTTCCTTCCAGTTTATATTTTCTTCCATAGCAGAAATTATCCTATCGACTTGGCTACTTGTTTGTTCTCTGTGTCCTTCTTGAGGGCAGGTTTTGTTCCCATTGTAACATCTGTTCCTATACCAGTGCCAGGGTTCAGTCTGTATCTGCTGAGTGAAAGTGTCTGGTTCCTGCCTCAGGGACTTCGTGGTCAAGCAGGGAGAGGAGACAGCTCCACAGGGTAATTCCTGAAACGCAGGTGCATGCTGCGCATCCCGGAGGAGGAGTGCTTGTGGTCTCCTGTGAGCGGCAGTGCAGTGGTCTGGAGGACTGAACACCTGAACTGAGTTGAAGGACAAATCGGAGCTTGCCCAAGTGACAACAGGAGGAGGGGCTCCAGGTGGAGCAGTGGGTCCACAGTCTCAGCAATGTGCAGACGGTTGACCTTGGCAGACGCAGTGCTCAGGGCATACTCAGGTGCTCCCATACATTTTTCTTTGCTGTCGGTTGAGTTCATGTGACCAGATCTAAAAAGGATGTGTGTTACTTCATGGCCATAAGATGTTAAAAGCTGGTAGGTCTCCTCCATCCCTGTGAAATAATAAATGTATATATATTGGCCTTTGTCCCTGGTTCCTGGCACAGAACTCCTAAAATTCATGTAATTTTCTAAGTGATGAGAACACTAGGAGTATCTTTTGTTCTAATATTTGGGTCTTTGGCTTTGGTTCCTGACACAGAGCTCCTAAATCCCTTGGAATTTCCTGGGTGATAGGAATGTCTTTTGTCGTAATGAGGTGACTCTTAGTAGGCTGCTGGATAGCTTCGGGATGGAGGCTGGTCACCAGAAAGACCAAGTCATGATTAGAAGCTTGGAAGTTCCAGCCCCTCCCCCGATTCTCCAGGAAGGAGAGAGAGGCTGGAGATTGAGTAAATGATCTATCATGCTTATGCGATAAAGCCTCCATAAAAAATCCCCAAGTTTTGGGGTTCTGAGAGCTTCTAGGTTGATGAACACACATCTATGTGCCAGAAGGGTGGCATAGCCCAACTCCATGGGGACAGAAGCTCCTGTGCTCAGGACCTTTCTGGACCTTGCCGCATGTGTCTCTTCATCCGGCTATTCATTCATATCTTTTATTATATCCTTTTTAATAAACCAGTGAATGTAAGTAAGTTCTGTGAGTCTTTCAAGCAAATGATCGAGTCCAAGGAGAGGGGTCATGGGAACCTCTGATTTGTAGCCAAGTCGGACAGAAGTTGTGGGTATCCTGGGCATGGACTAATTGTGATTGGCCTCTGAAGTAGGGGCAGTCTTGTGGGACTGAGTCCCTAACCCATGGGATCTGATGCTATCTCCAGGTAGATAGCGTTAGAACTGAAGAAAATTGTAGGACACTCAGCTGGTGTCGCAGAATTGCTTGATGTGTGGAAAACCCACACATCTGGTGTCAAGAAGTGTTGTGACTGTGGTAGTAGTGTGAGAGTAAAGGAGAAACACACAGAGTGTTTTTCCCAACTTAATCTCTCTCTTCCCTTCTTGTGACCTGGAAACTAGGGCTTGGGGTGGCCATGACACAGATGAAGGGGTCTTGGATCTCTGACTCATTGCTGGGAGGACAGCCCCCTCTTTGTCTGAGTGAGAAATAGACTTCTATTGCTTTCAGATCCTGAGATTCTGGAATTTGTCTACTGTAGAAGCTCGTGGTTACTTGTCCCAAGTAATACAGTGACCAAGTAGGAAATGCTCACAGGGACTACCACCCTTATCCAGAGGAGATGAACAGAAAGTAAAAACTTATCAGATTTCCCTACTTTCCTAGAAAGCGAAGATTGTCATCTTGGCTTCAGTTAAAAGAGCTCTTTCTCTGTTTCACTTCTTTAAGTTCCTTTGACCAGATTTTTTTTAATGAAAGGCTTCCATTGGTTTTTTTTTTAAGGCATAAAATAAAAAAATATAATTTTCTAGCATTTATGGAGTGCTTGTGAAGCCCTCAGTGTGCATCTCGCTTAACCCTCACAACTCTCTGACATAGGTGCTGTTACTATCCCTATTCTTCAGGTTTGGAACCCGGGGCTTACAGAGGCAGACGGCTAGTGAAGGCACACTGGGAGTAGACGGGGAAGCTGAGTTTCCAGCCCAGGTCTGTCTGATGGCCAAGCCCTGGCTCCCACCTGGGAAGTAACTCCACTGATCTAATTCAGTCCTCCACTAAACAGCTGAATCCGCAACAAGGGTTTCCCACGGTCGACCTGGTGGAGCAGACAACCACATTTCTGGTCCACTTTAATTTGTAAAAAACTTATTCTTTATCTTGAGGTGAAATCTGCCTCCCAGGCCTTCAATAAATGCTTAATGAATCAAGTCATCACTGTCCCCTGTGCTGGAATCACTGTACTATGTGTGCTCCTTTCCGTTTGAAGAAGACAAAGGAGCTGTACGGATAAAAGAAAGAGCTGAGGAAGAGTTTCCCACTAGCCTTCCCCTTCAGAGAGAGGTATTACACAACAGTAGTGATCATTATAAAATAGAACATTTCAACTTCAAGGCAAGAAATAAAGCATGGTGTTGGCCACTGATTTTAGGATCTACAGCTCCCCTTGTGTTGTACTTTTGTTGCTATTTTAACATCCTATAAATTTAAATTATATATTTGAAACATCTTTATTATGAGTCATGGACAATAGTATTTTCCAGAATCATCTCTGGGTTTATATCAGGTGGGCTCTCTCAGAATACGTGGTCTTTCGTGTGAATGAGGAATATGAAGGAGTAAATTCTGGCCTCAGCTCTGTCAATACATGTATGATTTGAGAAGCTCTCCTTGCCTGAAACTTTATAAATGTGTTCGCAGCTTTCAGGACTCCAGGAATGTAGCGTAGCCAATGTCTAAGCAGCCTCTGAATTTCAGGAGACTCACGAAAGAAGGTTTGTTATATCTACTTCTCCCGCCAATAGGGATTCTCATTTAACTTTGTAGCCCAGATCAGATACTTTTTCTTTAGTTTCTATACTTTTAAATCAAGATTTCTTGATAAACTGTGTACTTGTATTTAATCTCTAGTAGTGAAAAGTTAGGGGACACAGTCCACAAGACCACCTTTGTGGACTTTGAACACCAGTTGCAAGTTTGGGACTCCCCAAGTCCACCTTTTGGTTTGATGATTCTCTAGAAGGACTCACAGAACTCATTGAAAGCTGACAGACTCACGGTTACAGTTTATAACAGCAAAAGGATAAAGATTAAAATCAGCCAAGTGAAGAGGTGTGTGGGGCAGAGTCCAGAAGGGTTCCAAATGCAGAGCTTCCAGTTGTCCTCCCTCCATGGACAGTGTTAACTTCTCCCAGCAATGATGTCTGACATGATGCACAGAATATTGCCAAACAGGGAAGTTCACCTAAGTCTTGGTGTCCAGGGTCTTTACTGGGTCTCCATCTTCAATTGCCCATGTGGAGCTTCAGTCTCCAGACCTTCTAGACATTGAGCTGATACTGTGTGACTCAAAAGCCCCCACCAACAACCACATTGTTAGACATTCTGCTTGGTCAAGACCCCCAGGTAAACAAAGACACTTATGGGGGGACATTCCAAGGGTTTAGGGATTACCCATCACGGGCTGAGGGCAAAGGTCACATCTCCTTTTGAGCAAGGTTAAAATCCTTACTACACATGTAGAAATGTTTTCTTTTAGATAAGCTTGCAAAGACTAGTCTTTTTTTTTTTTTTAAATCTTGTTTTCTATTTGAGATAAACCAGAGTCTACTGTATTATCAATAGCAAATGCATTTGAACATCTACTACTGAGCTTGGAAAATCCTGTGTTACTTGTTGACATCTTTTACCCTACAATGGCTTAGCTATGTCTTTCCTATTGGCAGAAGGCCATGGAGTGTGACATGCTTACACGTACCAGGAGCACAGGCTGGATGGAGTTATGACCACACAGTACTAAAGGTTTAACCTGGCTTCTGACCAGTGCCATTATTTTTGTCATAGTTGCCAATCCCCAGGGTTCTGAAAAGAAGGCATGATGAGATGTGGAATAACATCAGTAGCCTCAAAAACTGCAGTTTATTTGTCATTGTCACTCAATTCTCTTTAGTCACCCACTTTCTCCTTCTCTCCAGGCTTAGGAAACGGGTGACTCTCTGAATTCCAAGGCTAAGTCCTCTGCCTGTGCAGGAGGTCCCATTTTGCCCATTTTTAGCATCTTTATCTCTTCAGATTCTTCCCCTTCACCAAATATGGGCAAGCTACTCCTGTCCTTGATAAACATTTTTATTTAAACCAATGATGTCCCAATTTTTCTGTTAGACTCAGTTATTTGTTTGTTTATTAGACTAAACACATGTCAAAGACCTATTTAACTCATGATTGAGGGAATGAGCAAGCTGAGAGAGCTGGTTCAAAGGATTATGGGAGATACAGAAGTATGTATAGTCACAGAAAGAATGCTGGAGTAAGATTACAAAATTCAGTACAAATTGCTTAATGTTCTAGTTTCTTTTCCCATAAAAATAAATCATTTGCATCTCTATAGGACAAAATTCCTTGCATTTCTATTAGATAACAATAATTTGTGACAGATCTTAGCAAAAACTTTTTGTACCTAGTTTCTGTGAAGCCACATACAAAATATCTTTTCTGATTACAATGGAATGAAACTAGAAATCAATAACAAAATGAAAACTGGAAAATACACAAATACGTGGAAATTAAACAATACTTGCAAAAAAACCAATGAGCCAAAGGAAAAATTACAAGAGAAATTAAAAAATATCTTGCAACCAATGAAAATGAAAGCAAAACATACCAAAACTTATGGGATGCAGCAAAAGCAGTGCTAAGAGGGAAATTAATAGCTACAAACACTTGCATTAAAAAAGAAAGATCTCAATTAAACAACCTAACTTTACACCTTAAGAATGAGAAAAAGAAGAAGAAACTAATCCCAAAGCTAACAAAAGGAAGGAAATAATAAAGTTCAGATTGGAGACAAATAAAATAGAGAACAGAAAAACAATAGAAAAAAAATCAATGAAACCAAAAGTTGGTTCTTAAAGAAGATCAATAAAATGGACAAATCTTTAGCTAAATTGCTTTAGAACAAAAGAGAAGTAGAATCAAATGACTAAAGTCAGAAATGAAAGTGGGGATATCACTAGTGATTTTACAGAAATAAAACGAATTATAAGAGAGTAATGGGAACAACTGTATGCAAACAGATTGACTAACTTATATGAAATTTACAAATTCCTAGAAACACACAATCTACCAAGACTGAATCATGAAGAAATAGAACATCTGAATACCCCAAAACTAGGAGGGAGATTGTATCAGTAATCAAAAATCTCTCTATGAAGAAAAGCCCTAGATCAGATCACTTCTTTGGTGAATTCTACCAAACATTTAAAGAGGAATTAACACCAATCCTCCCCAAACTCTGCCAAAATATTGAAGAGGATGGAACACTTCCTAACTTATTCTATGAAGCCAGCATTACTCCGATACAAAGCCAGATGAAGACACTACAAGAAAACTACACACATTTACTTATTAATATTATGCAAAAATCCTCAACAAAATACTAGCAAACTTGATTCAGCAGCATATTATAAGGATTATAAACCATGACAAAGTGAGATTTATTCTCAGAATGCAAGGATAGTTAAACACATGAAAATCAATCAACATAATACAGCACATTAACAGAATGAAGGAAATAAACCACATGATCACCTTAACTGATTTAGAAAAAACCTTTGGACAAAATTCAACACCTTTTTATGATAAAAACACTCAACAAAATAGGCATGGAAAAACAGCTCTTCAACATAATAAAGATCATATGTGAAAACCCATAGTTACCATCATATTCAGTGGTGAAAAATTGAAAGCTTTTCCCCCAAGATCAGGAACAAGACAAGAATGTCCACTTTCACCATTTCTACTCAGCATAGTGTTGGAAGTTCCAGCCAGAGTAATTAAGCAAAAAGAAAAGAAAAAAAAAGAATGAAAGAAAGAAAAAAAAGAAAAAGAAATAACAGATGTCTGAATTAGAAAGGAAGAAGCAAAATTATCGCTGTTCACAGGTGGCATGATCTGATATATAGAAAACCCTAAAGGTTACACAAAAAACCTGTCAGAACTAATAAACAAATTCAGAAAAGTTGCAGGATACAAAATCAACATGCAAAAATCAGTTGCATTTCTAGACAACAACAATCAGCAACCCCAAAAGGAAATTAGGAAAACAATTCCATCTACAATAGCATCAAAAAGAATAAAACACTTAGTAGTAAATTTAATCAAGGAGGCAAATTTTGTATGCTTAAAATTATAAAACATTGATGAAAAAAATGAAGGAAGACATAAATAAATGGAAAGACATCCCGTGTTCACCGATTGGAAAGACGTAATATTTTTAAAATGCCAATATTACCCAAAGTGATCTACAGATTCAACGTAATTCTTATCAAAATCCCAAAGATATTTTTTGCAGAAATAAAAAAAACTCAACTTAAAATTCATATGGAATCTCAATGGACTCTGAATAGCCAAAGCAATCTGACAAGGAAGAACAAAGTTGGAGCACTCATAATTTCTGATTTCAAAACCTATTACAAAGCTACAGTAATCAAAACAGTACGATACTGTCATAAAGACAGATGCATATACCAATGGAATATAATAGAGGACCCAGAAACAAACTCTCACACATAAATAAACCTTGGCACAAGGGTGCCAAGACCATTCAATAGGAAAAGACAGTCTTCTCAACAAATGGTGCTGGGAAAGTGGGACATCCTCAGGGAAAAGAATGATGTTGGACCCTTGCCTAACACCATATACAAAAATTAACTCAAAATGGATTAAAGACCTGAGTGTAAGAGCTAAAACTCTAAAATTCCTAGAAGAAAACGAGGAAAGCTTCATAACCTTGGTTTTGACAACAATTTCTTGTTGTCACCAAAGCACAAGCAACAAAAGAAAACATAGATAAATTGAACTTCACCAAAATTAAAAACTTTTGTGCATCAAAATACACTGTCAACAGAGGGAAAAGGCAACCCACAGATCAGGAGAAAATATTTGCAAATCATACATCTGATAAAGGGTTAATATCCAGAATATATAAAGAATTCCTGCAATTTAAAAACAACAATAAAAACAACTCAATTAAAAAATGGGCCAAAGATTTAAATAGACACTTTTCCAAAGAAAATATGCAAAGACCAATAAGCACACAAAAAGATGCTTTACATTCTACTTCACTCATCATTTGGGAAATATAAGTCAAAACCATTATGAGATACCACTTCACTCCCATTAGGAGTGTTGGCAGGGAAATGGAGAAATTGGAATCTTTGCGCATCACTGGTGGAATTGTAAAATGGAGAAGCTGCTATATAAAAAATTGAACAGAGAATTACCACATGATACAGCAATTCCACTTCTAGGTATACACCCCAAAGAACTGAAAGCAGGGACTAGAACAGATATTTTTATACCCGTGTTCATAGCAGCATTATTCACAGTAGCCAAAAGGTGATAACAACTCAAATGTCCAAGACGGATGAATGGATAAACAAAATGTATTATATTTTCAGCATTAAAAAGGAAATTCTGACACATGCTATGACATGAATGAACTTTGAAGACATTATGCTAAGTGATATAAGCCAGTCACAAAAGGACAAATACTGTATGATTCCACTTATATGAAGTGCCTAGAATAGCCAAATTCATAGAGACAGAAAGTACAATGGTGGTTGCCAGGAGCAGTGGGGAAGGGGAGAAAAAGGATTTACTGTTTAACAGGTATTTAGTTTTGGTTTAGGAAGATGAAAAAGTTCTGGAGATAAGTAGTGGTGATGGTTGCACAACAATGTGAATGCACTTAACGTCACTGAATTGTACACTTAAAAATGGCTAAAATGGTAGATTTTAGGTTGTTTATATTTTACCACAACAAAAAATCATTTGCACTTTTACAAGTTAACACCAATCTTTACAGAATTCAAATTTTTCTAATCAACAGAGAAGCAAAGATACATACTTCAGAGCAGGTTTTCCCAACCGTGGCACTACTGATATTTGGGGCCAGATAATTCTTTGCGATGGGCACTGTCCTGTGCACTGTAGGGTGTTTAGCAGCATCTCTTCCCGCTTCCCACTAGATGCCAGTAGCACCCTTCTCCCCAGTTGTGTCAACCAAAAATTTCTCTAGACATTGCCAAATGCCCCTTGGGATGCCAAATCTCTACCAGTTTAGAACCACTAATAAGGGTTCTGGAAATTCCGACTCAATCCCTGATACTGACAGTTGTCTAAGCAGCATCAGCTTGGAAATCTATAGCCATGAATTTATTCCTTGAGGTATCAATATTTAGAAGCCTCTGGTACAGTGCTTTCCACCAACACCCTGAGATCATCATTATCTGTTGCGATCAATTTCAAGAATCTGTAACTTAGAGCAGAGTCAGTCAGTACCTCAAAGAACTGTTATCCTTCATGGTGTGCATGAAATATTTTCTTAATTGACTTGAGTTCATAAATAGACAGACAAACAAAAAAACAGGACTATTAACCCAATTCTCTATTGTATTTCATGTGGCAGAGAGTAGATCCTCATCATCCTGATGTACATCACAAAATGATTAGACCATAAAATCAGATTGCTAATAATTGCTGCCACTAATGGGGAATAAATTATTGGCCACGTGCAAATCAGAACTGGAAACAAGCTTGTGCAAGGACTAGAAACAGAAACAAAAATCATGGGGCAGGGTGGAGGGCAGATGAACAGAGAGTCAAAGATAAAATCTATTACCATGGGGCTGGCCCCGTGGCCAAGCGTTTGGGTTCGCGCTCTCCGCTTCAGCGGCCCAGGGTTTTGCCGGTTAGAATCCTGGGCGCGGACATGGCACTGCTTGTCAGGCCACCCTGAGGCGGCATCCCACACGCTACAACTAGAAGGACCCACAACTAAAAATATACAACTACGTATGGGGGGTCTTTGGGGAGAAAAAGGAAAAATAAAATCTTAAAAAAAAAATCTATTACCACTTGGGATTCACTCCAGGTGCCAAGAAAATATGTTCCTGGACTTAACTGGCCTAGAAGGTGCACTTTTTTGGGCAATGATATTTAACTGGTTCTGAAAGCTGTGTCCACTTGGATATCACAATAGGATCTCCAAAACTGTCAAAGTATATGCCATGGACTGAATTTTGTCCCCTCCAAATTCATATATTGAAGCTCTAACCTCCAACATGACTGTTTTTGGAGATGGGGCCTGTGAAGAGATGATGAAAGGTCAATGAGGTCATAAGGGTGGGGCCCTAATCCAACAGAGCTGGTGCTCTTAGAAGAAGAGGAGGAGCCGTCAGAGCTCTCTCTCCACACAGTGAGAAGGTGGCCCTCTGCAAGTCAGGAAGAGAGACCTCACCAGAAGTTGATCATGCTGGACCTTGATCTTGGACTTACGGCCTCCAGAACTGTGAGAAATAAGTTTCTGTTGTTTAAGCCGTGCAATCTGTGGTATTTTGTTATGGCAGCCTGAGCAGACTAATATAATATAGTTGCCCAAAAGCTGTCAGCATGACTTTTTTACAAATACAGAAAAAGCATGCATCAAAGCTTTATTTAGCCCATCAATGAGGGAACCAGCATGATGGTAAAACTGATTTTCCGTTAAACTTTTAAAATGAG